AGATATCAGCACAGCCCCGGTGGGTTTTGATGCCGCCAAGCACACAGCCTGTCACTTACTGGCAGACTTGGCAGGTGACGTCCAACTGCAGGCCTCCCATGAAGATCTGACCTATGACGCAGTTTGAGGTTGTTGGCCTTCTTCCCGTTGCCATCAGCTGGGGATAGACCATGGCTCTGGGATTAATGTCTGTGTGCTCCAAAGATAGGGAGTCTCGAAGGGAAGTGAACATTCACCCAGCAGAGACCCGAGGAAGCCAGGGTCGATACTTTAAAGGGCCACGTGAGGACCCTCCTCATTTCAGCAGAGGGTCTCCTTGTTATTTTAATGTGATGAGAAATCACGGCACTTGGATTTTTAATGCTTCTTTCTCTCATTCCTAAGAAGGGCCCCACAGCTTCAATCTTGCCCAGAAAGCCCACATAATGCCCAATGAATGAGTAGGATAATTGATTACCTTTTTCATACAGAGAATGATTGAGTCAATATTTTCCTGGTAAGACAGCTGAACATATGATGAGCCAGGTACACCGAAGGAAGCCCCTACAACCTCCCTCCTTGACTGGGTTTCACTGTGCCCTGAGTGCAGGAGGCTCTCGGGCTATCCTCATCAGCTGGAACCCCAGGGGACAGCGTGTCTTCCTGTCAGTTGCATCATCTGGAAGCACCATGCCCACCCTCTCTATCCAATTCGTGTTTCATTCCTATCTGTGTGTGCAGATAAGTGAAAAAGCACAAGAGTCTTGGTGAGGTGCCCGTGGATCTGCACAGCAAGAGTGCTGGCCCCAGTTGAGCACTTACCTCACTGATTATGACTGTCCATGGCCCCATGTCCCCAAAGATTGTAGGTGCTGGGACAGCCCCTGACACATTCTAGGCAACAGATGGCTGTTTACTAACCAGCACATTTTATAAATATGTGCATCTATGTCACTTCAGTGTTCACTACTGAATGACCAGATAGTTCCTTAGCTATGCAAGCCAAAAAAGTAGTAATAATATCATTGTTTTTCACATTGTTTTTCACATTGGAGGGGTAAGAACATCTAAAATCTACATTCATAGAAAAATTTTAGTATGCAATACAATATTATTAATTATAATCCTTGTGCTGCACATTACACTTCTAGACTTATTTAATTGATCATAGTTGACATGACTAAACCATAAAGACTGCTGAGATTACAATACCCTTTAAAAATAACATTATTCGGCCGGGCGCGGTGGCTCAAGCCTGTAATCCCAGCACTTTGGGAGGCCGAGGCGGGTGGATCACGAGGTCAAGAGATCGAGACCATCCTGGTCAACACGGTGAAACCCCGTCTCTACTAAAAATACAAAAAATTAGCTGGGCATGGTGGCGCGTGCCTGTAATCCCAGCTACTCAGGAGGCTGAGGCAGGAGAATTGCCTGAACCCAGGAGGTGGAGGTTGCGGTGAGCCGAGATCGCGCCATTGCACTCTAGCCTGGGTAACAAGAGCGAAACTCCGTCTCAAAAAATAAAAAAATAAATAAAAATAAATAAAAATAAAAATAACATTATTCAAGAAAAAAATTGAAATGGCATCCACAAAAAAGCTGATACCATTTTTATAATAAACAACTATGAAAGAAAGAAGCTATGTTTTGAGAAGAATTTAAAGTACTGACTTAGGTTAAATTATTTAAGACAAAAAAAATTAAAGTGTCATTTAACTCATTTGTAGTTTAAAGCCAGCAGAATATACATACTTTTAATTGTCATCCTACTAAGAAGATACGTTTACTGAAATCAACAAGGTTTTAAGTTTTTCAATTTTTAAATAGCCATATTTTAACATAACTGAAAGACCCTTCCCAATACATCTTCTAAGCAAGTCACCAGACTCCAAATTTTTTTTATGTAAAAAATATTCATTGGGCTGGGTGCAGTGACTCATACCTGTAATCCCAGCACTTTGGGAGGCTGAGGCAGGTGGATCACTTGAGGTCAGGAGTTCGAGACCAGCCTGGCCAACATGGCAAAACACCATCTCTACCAAAAATTAGCCAGGCATGGTGGTGAACACCTGTAATTCCAATTACTTGAGGCGGGTGGGGGGGGTTGAGACAGGATAATTGCTTGAACCCGGGAAGCAGAGGTTGCAGTGGGCCAAGATCGTACAGTTGCACTCCAGCCTGGGGAACAGAGACTCTGTTTCAAAAAACAAAATTCATTTTACTGGTCTCTTCATTCATTTCTCTGGTCTCTATAACAGACTTAAAAGAAAGGTTATAGACTATAGCTCATGCTTTCTGTTACTATCTACCTCCTACTTATTCTTGACCTGAAGGTGAGGGAGGTCTAACTGTGATTTAGAATTGTCATCAACCCACAGTATTCTAAGAATATAATATTTTCATTACCAAATTTCACCTTCTCTGCTTGAAGGATTACTAGCAAAATAAGGTAATGACAAGAGATCAACATGTCAGAAGTCAAAAGAAGGCACTCTGGGGCTACTGACTTCCTGGCCATGTTATTTCTAAGAAGTCAGTCACCTGAGCATCCCTGGGTAGGAGAGACTACTTTGTGTTGCTGAGGTCACAGCCACATCAACTACTGGCTGAGACAGAGTGAGTTAAATCACAAAAGCTAAGAATAAAGAGTGTTGGTCGAACAATTAGACCCAATCCTGATATCCCTGAGAATTTCAGATGGAGAAGCGTTTTCCAAAGAAAACAATTGTTTCACAATGATCTGACAATGACTTTTTCTTGCCTGTAAATTTTATTTGAAAAATGATAAGGATAAAAATAACTACATTCTTCTGCCCTTTTCACTCATTTGATCTAAAATAAAATTTCAAACCCCCTAGAACCTGGAGGTTATCACCACATATCCTGCTCATTCAACCTGGAGTTGACACACCTTCTCCGGTGTCATCACCATCCGTGTACATACATGGCTAGTGATGCATCTTCATCAGACGCTGCTGATTAAATCTATCATGCTCAGTTACTCCTCCCAGGAAGAATCAAGCCATGAGAAAATGGGAGTAAGGTTGAGGATGAGGAAAAGGAGAAGTTATGGAAAGCACTGGAAGTCTGGAAACATGAAATAGGCTGGAGAGGAAAGAAATTTAATGGGAGATCCTAAACTCACAGAAGCAGAAAAGGGGCAAAAGATTAGAATAAACTACCAGAAATTAGAGGGAAAAAACAAGATGGATAAAAATGTCAAAGATAAAAGTCAGTTTCACCTAATGCACAACGCTGTCACCAGCAGGATCTACTCCTCCAGGCTTGGTGGGTAGTAACTATCGAAACACTGGCAGAGGTGCAGAAACTAAGAAACAAACCAAGACTGCAAAATTACCACTGTGCCTACTTCAGTACACCTTTCTTCCCCCACTCCAGGTAACACTCACATAGAAGGCACAGCACAAAATGAATGCCCACTGGTTGATTAGTAAAAAGTTGTAAAGTAGGCAGAGAAGGGCAAAGGCACCATCACACTGTTACCAAGCAAAGGAGGCTCGCTGCCTGCTGCACTCCTAGAAGCCAATACTGTAACACTGGGTTTTTGAGAAAATAAAAACTTTTATAGCCTGTCAACCAACAAGGAATTAGAAAGTCCAGCTCAAATCTGTCTCTTTGTGCTGGCTTTAGGGAAGTGATTTTATTAGAAAACGTTTTGAGTGTGGATTCTGGGATTATCAGGTGCCTGGTGGAAGGAAAGAGGAGGTCTGGAAAGTCCTTGGCCATGTGCTCTTATCTCTTTGTGCTACCTAAGTGTGCCACGTGCAAATTCAGGGAGGAGATAGTATGAAACATGCAGTAGAAATTCAGCTGTAAGGTCAGCAAGCTGGGTCTGTGCAGACTCCAATTGGTCATATTGGTTCACATGGATTTTGGCCAGTTTTATTAACATAAAGCCCAGGCAGTTTCAGCATTTCAGCAAGTTGTTTCTTTTATCTGCCATTCTGTAAACACAAGAATTTCTATGGCTTTTTTGTTGTTTTTGTTGTTTTGTTTTGTTTTTACTCTTTGGCAGATAGTTTCAAAGACCTTCTTCTCAGAGGTGGTCATTCTCACCCTCACCTTCTGATTCCTGCAGCTCAGTTCTAACCTCCCACACTGTGTTAGTCCGTTCTCACACTGCTGTAAAGAACTGCCTGAGACTGGGTAATTTATAAAGGAAAGAGGTTTAGCTGATTCACAGTCTCACATGGTTGGGAAGGCCTCAGGAAACTTACAATCATGGCAGATGGCCAAGGAGAAGCACTCACCTTTTTCACAAGGCGGCAGTAAGGAGTGGTGCTGAGAGAAGGGGGAAGAGCCCCTTTATAAAACTATCAGATTTTGTGAGAATTCATTCACTATTACCAGAACAACATGAGGGAAAGTGCCCCCATGATCCAATTACTTCCACCTGGTCTCTCCTTTGACATGTGGGGATTATGAGGCTTACAATTCAAGATGAGATTTGGGTGGGGACACAAAGCCTAACCATATCACACACCCTAACCTTTCCACATCCCATTCCTTGATGGGGGGGAGGTGGGAAGAGGGGTGACACCCCTGTTCTCAGTCATCACAGGCACTCATGACCCTGTAGGTGCAGAGAAGTGGCTCACATTTGTTTCTTTTGGGGGAAACTGAGGTAATCAAGGTGGGGCTAGGCCCTGGGGACGAGGCAAGTAAGGGCTTTGCCACGTCTGCACCCACTAGGGAAGGAGCAGAGGCTCTGTTAGGGCGCCATCCCACGGGCTGCAGTTGCAGAATCCTGCAGACTCCACCCCCAATCTGGCCGCACTGTTCCCAATTTTTGCGAAGTGACCTGGGGAGGGAAGACAGATCGGATGCTCCGGCCTCACCAGGGACTGCGCTGGACCGGAGCTCTTCCTCCGCCCAGTCCGCACGAGAGAGCTTCCTGGCCGACCTCAGACAGCTCCAGACCTGACAGCCCTGGGAAAAGAAACAGAGATCGCCTTCGCCGCCACGGCCGCCAGAGGGCGCCTGGGGGCGGGGAGAGGATGGGGCAAGGCGGGTCCGGCAGGAGGCGGGACGGTGAGCGGAGAGGGGCGGGGCGAGGGGCAGAGAGGAGGGCGGGGGACCGCAAGGCGGAAGAGGCCCTTTCACCTTCGACCCCGCGCCTGGCGCTCTCCTCACTCTTCGTACTGACGCGCGTTCTTGCCAATGCCGCAGCGCTGGGCTGGCTTCCTCCGAGGCCTCTAGGACCCGCCTACCGCGCCCCGCCCGCCACGCGGAAGCCCCCAGCCCCTCCTGGACGCTTCGCCTAGTGCCGCGGTCACGGCCACCGTCACAAGCGCCCCCAGCCCCACCCACCCCGGCCTGCCCGCCGTCCCTCTCCCGCCCCGGCACCTGCCTGCCAGCTCCACCGGGCCGCAGTGCGGTCGACAGCAAAATTCCTCGGCCCGCGGAGGCCGTCAGCTCCTGGGAGGGGAGGGAAGGCGCAGTCTCGCGGCGCCCCCAGGTTCATGTCCCAGGTGCGTCCGGACCCGGGAGGCACGGCTCGAAGGGCGTTGACAGCCCGCGAGGTTCGGCCTCGGTCCCCGGTACCCTTGGTCCCAGCTACACACCCTCCTGGCCTTCCCCCAAGTCCGAGGGAGAGGTGAGATTCTTCCCGACGCAGTTGGAAACGGAATCACTGACTCTACCATCTGCAAAGGGATTCTTGTCCAGAATCCCCGAATGCTTTAGGACAGCTCTTGGTTCTGTTAAATGAAGAGTCTAATTTTCGGAAAGGCCACAGGCTTTTCATCAACTGAATTGAATTTCAGTTGATGTCCACAAAGCGGACTGGTACGAACCTGCTGGATGGTGGTCATTTTCGTGACTACTTGGGGATACCTTCCACTTTGTGGATTTGTCTCTGTTGAAATGTATTTCCATAGAATTTATTTAGGTCTCTATTTACTACTGATTTGACGGCTTTAAGTGAGGAGGGAAGCCTGTGGTTTCTGTGCAGCTTTAGGTTGAACAATTTAGCAGCGCAAAATGTGTTTTCTGCCTGCCTTAACTCGATAAGCCAAATATGCCCTCCATTTCTTTTCCAGGTTGCGCCTTTTTAGCCAAGAAGCATGGAGGTCATTCACGGCAGGCCCTACTGTTGCAGGGAGCTTGAAGGAGCTGACATACTGTCCAACACCTTTTACTCTAATCAGTTGCACACCCCCCTCCAAACGGCTACTCGCCCAACTGCCTCAGAGGACAGGTAAAACAAAAACTAGAAAAAGCAAACAAGAAAAAGCAGTTTTAATGTATTAGTGTATTTTATTATGAGAGGAAAAACATTTATTTTCTGGGGCTCTTCTGTTGTTTGTTTGTTTTTAAGACAGTTTTGCTATCGCCCAGGCTGGAGTGCAGTGGCGCGATCTCGGCTCACTGCAACCTCCGCCTCCAAGTTCAAGTGATTCTCCTGCCTCACCCTTCCGAGTAGCTGGGATTACAGGCATGCGCCACTGTGCCCAGCTAATATTTTTGTGTTTTTAATAGAGACGCGGTTTCACCATGTTGGCCAGGCTGGTCTCGAACTCCTGACCTCAAATGATCCATCTACCTCAGCCTGCCAAAGTGCTAGGATTACAGGCGTGAGCCACCGCGTCTGGCCCGGGCTCTTCTGTTTATCACATCACAGTGAAGGCAAAACGTGGCAATTAACTGAAACTTCAAGTGTCTGTAAGGAACCTGAGAAGTAAGTGGCTGTGTACTATAAAAGGCAGACATCAAATTCATCCACTACATTATAAAATTTTAAAATGATCCTTCATTGGGAAATTAATCTGTTTTAGTCAAAGACTTTTTATTTTATAAAGAGAGTGCTATATTCGTTTCCTAACATGCCTTTCTGCCATCTGCCCAAAAATACTCCCAGAATTTACTGCCTACAGGTGTCTAAATTTTTGCTTTACCAAATTCCCTGTAACACATTAATTATACATTATTATTTAAATTGTGGAAAGCAGTTTAATGATTTACCAAATTCCCTGTAACACATTAATTATACATTATTATTTAAATTGTGGAAAGCAGTTTAATGATTTCTCAAAGAACTCAGAACAGAATTACCGTTTGACCTAGCAATCCCATTATTGGATTCTCAGTTGTTCTTATAAGTTGTTCTACCAAAGGAATATAAGTTATTCTACATATAAAAAGACACATGCACAGGTCTGTTCATCAAAGCACTATTCACAATAGCAAAGACACGGAATCAGCCTAAATGCCCATCAATGGTTGACTGGATATAGAAAACATGGTACATATATACCATGGAATACTATGCAGCCATAAAACATGAGATCATGTCTTTTGCAGCAACATGGATAGAGCTGGAGGCCATTATTCTAAGCAAACTAACACAGGAACAGAAAACCAAATATCACATGTTCTCACTTATAAGTGGGAGCCAAACATTGAGTACATATGGAGACAAAGAAGGGAATAACAGACATCAAGGCCTACTTGAAGGTGGAGGGAAGGAGGAAGGCAAGGATCAGAAAAGTACCTCTTGGGTACCATGCTTATCACCTGGGTGACACAAATGATCTGTACACCAAACCCCTGCAACATGCAATCTACCTGTATAACAAACCTCTATATGTACCCCTGAACCTAGAATGAAAGTTTTAAAAAAAAAAATTACAATGAAAAAAACTGCATCTAACGTATCTAGTGATTACTGTGTGTTAGCACTCTACCAGATGCTTTGTATATAGTAATTATTTTAATCCTCATGAGAACCTTATAAGATAAATGCTATTGTTACCTGCATTTTGCATTTGAAATAACAGATAACAGACAAGTAATTTGCCAAGATCCTAGTGCCAGCACTTCCTGTACTGTATTTACTTGAATCATTTTGAGAAAAGAAAAAGGAAAAAAAAACACCTCAAAACACCTGGCCAGTGAAAAAATAGCCTGTGTGGTTGTCTAGTTGTGTGTTTTGTGTTTTTTTAAGTTCACTTGGTCAAGTCTCTCATTTAAGAATTCTCTAGGAAACCAGACAGGAAGTCACCCAGACTCAGTTTAAACACTTCCAGAAAGGACAGCACTTCCACACCACGCAGTCCATTCCATTTTTGAATGCTCCTGATTGTTAGATAATTTTCTTTCTAACGAGAACACTTTTTTCCCTTATAATTTCTGCCTGCTAATTCTGGTTCCTCCTCTGAAGCTATGCAAAATCATAATTCATCCTTCCCATGCTAGCAGCCCTTCAAGATCTGAAGATTCTCTTGGCCCCTCTGAGAGTTCTGTTTGCCAGACTCAACACTGGTCACAGATTCTACTCCTTTTCCTCCTTGCACTTAGGTTTTCACCATCCTGATCAGGCTTTCACAGATCTTTTCCAGTTTATAAACATGCTCTTTATATTAATAAAGAAAAAGAATGGGCCGGGTGCAGTGCCTAATGCTGTAATCCCAGTACTTTGGGAGGCCAAGGCAGATGGATCACGAGGTCAGGAGTTCAAGACCAGCCTGGCCAAAATGGTGAAACCCATCTCCACTAAAAATACAAAACTTAGCCAGGCATGGTGGCAGGAGTCTGTAATCCCAGCTACTCAGGAGGCTGATGCAGAAGAATCACTTGAACCTGGGAGGCAGAGGTTGCAGTGAGCTAAGATCAGGCCACTGCACTCCAAAAAAAAAAAAAAAGGAAGGAAAGAAAAGAAAAAGAATGATTTTTCCTTAATTATAAAACTAACACACTTTCCTTATAATGTAGAAATCTGTAAGGAAAACAAATTCTTTATTTTTCCAACAGAAAAATTATGCAAATGAAGCACAGGAAAGAAACCCTCTGTACTTCCTTTATCCGGAGATGATAACTACTATGTTAACATCTCAATATGTATCCTTTCCAATTTTTTTAAATGTAAAGATTATATTCAGCATTTTTAAAATCAATTGCTATTTTCACTTAATTAAAAGAAATATTCTTATATTGGGGGAAGAGAGCTCTTGTCACTGCTGGGTCAGTCCTTGCTGCCCATACTCCCCTACCATTGACCTGATTCACTAGAGTGGTTTTCAGCCCTAAATTCCTGTTTAACTCCAAGGGCTTTCACATTAGACAGAGCTTCCATGAGTCAAATGAAACCCTTAGCAGATTGTATGAGATCTGGCAGTTGTCCCTGGCTCAGAAACAGCAATGTGAGGTTTTATATTCGGCCTAAGGAATCTAAGAATTTAGGGCTGCCACATCTGACTGCACTGTCAAAAAGCACTCTCGCCGGGCGCGGTGGCTCAAGCCTGTAATCCCAGCACTTTGGGAGGCCGAGGCGGGTGGATCACAAGGTCAAGAGATCAAGACCATCCTGGGTAACATGGTGAAACCCCGTCTCTACTAAAAATACAAAACATTAGCTGGGCATGGTGGCGCGTGCCTGTAATCCCAGCTACTTAGGAGGCTGAGGCAGAAGAATTGCCTGAACCCAGGAGGCGGAGGTTGCGGTGAGCCGAGATCGTGCCATTGCACTCCAGCCTGGGTAGCATGAGTGAAACTCTGTCTCAAAAAAAAAAAAAAAAAAAAAAAAAAAAAAGCACTCTCAAAGGGTTTTCACCGAAAATGCTTTAGTTTTTAGCTTTTAGTTTTTCAGCTTTTGATCCCCTCTACCTAAACAGTCCTATAGTTGGTTAGTGATTGGCTCCAAAACCCTTTAACTGGCATAAATGTAAGAGAAGTAAATTTTTTGTTAACATACTATAAAATTCAACATGCTATGTGGTCAACTATAAACTACAAAAAGGTATTATTTGAAGCTCTATCTGGTATAACCATGTTCCTGGCTCCTAATAACTAAAACTTGCTTCCCCTTTCATTTCATGTGAATTCTTTCCTTTCACAGTCCCCAAATTGAGAAAACCAGGAAGATCATGTATTCTCAGAACCCCTCCTCTGAACCCCTTCTTAAAAAGCAGCCCGACAGCTTACAGAAGAGTCTCTTTACTTTCAGTGTTAGTGATGGAGCTTCTCCGGATGGTGTCATCAGGATACTGGTGGTACTTCTCTTTTGAGAGAAGTTTTTTTTGCTGAGGCTCACTCCTTCAGACAAGGTGCAGAGTCCATAGCTCCCAATTCGAATCACAGGGTATTTCAACGCAAAACAAAACAATACAAAACAGAAAGCCCCTGGTTTTTAGGGATTACCTTCTTAATGGTAAGGATGAACGTGAGCCCTAGCATACGTTTGCGCTCAGCAGCTTAATTTTCTAAACAAGGATGTATATAAAGGGACAC